TAGACAGTAGTGCCTGATAACTGTCAAAAAAGACTATCAGAGTCACAAGTGTTTTTAGTTACTTGTAGGTCTACAAATCTTCCTAACCTCCCACATAGACAGACTTAATCTGTTTGCTAGTATGATTATCTAGCTCTAAGTAACAGAAATAAAGGTATCTCTACTAAACCCAGAGATTATGCCAATAAAAAAGGTATTTTATAAAAATCAGATGACATAAGATATCTTGATTGTATCTTATTGGTAGTATCTTGGCATTATAAAAACTAAGTGTTGTATTTACATTCCTGACAATTCTGACAACATAACTAATATCCTTAAAGATTTACATTCTCAAATAGAGGACATGTCCCCCCACTGGCCTTGCCATGGGAACAACTTCTCAGCTCTTGCACCTCCTGGTAAAAATTCTATTATCATCATGATATTCATTGACACATTCCAGATGCTTTGATATTTACCGTTGTATTAATCTTATTCCAATACTCATATCTTCTTGTTTCTCCATAGAGCATTTGCTTCTCAAATGACCTTACAATGTGCTTCTTCCAAACCAGACTTTTAACATGGAGCCCTAAATTGACCCCAAACATTCCTAAAAGGTAAACCCAAACTGCTTTTCCCATATTGACCCCTCTCATTCTGAAGTAGCCAAAGTTGTCATAGTCCATTTCCCCTTATAGTAGTAAGGGTTCCCTTCTCAGAGGGGGGATTGAAGCCAGGGGACAAAAGGACAGTCAGTATAGGTAATGAATGATTGGGTCAGGAAGATGGGGGGTCTATTTGAAAGGAAATAGAATGCTAATACCTGCAGAGCTCTTCCACCCCCTCCAACCTATTGCCAAGGTTACCTGCCTCCAGGGAATTGTTCCTCCCAACAAGTAGTTTTAATGCAGTACCTCCTGGGCAGTTCTCTTCCTGCCTTTCTGTTGAGATAAGGAAAGGCACCCTGGAAAGGGCTCCTTTCCCACTTTTTGGCTACATGGGCAAGATAAGAGAAGGGGGCATGAGAAGAAAGGATAAAAGGGGCAGGATACCCCTACTTCCACAGGTACCAGCATTGGACCCCTCCTCTACAGAGAACTTTCTCTATTTATTTAGTCTAGTCTTTAAATAAAACTTTTTGTTCTTGCCTCAGCATTTCTGGGGTGTTCAATCTTCAAATCAGGGGAACGGACATGGATGATGATTCTCAACATCAGTATCATCTCTGGCTTTAATACTGAGTAAAGACAACAGAGAGAACAAGGAATGAACAATCCCAGTGGTGGAGTGGTTAGTGATAGAGTGGTAACTGGGTAGTTAGGATTTGGGGAATGAATATTAAGGAGTCAGCTTTAAACATATTATGTATGAGATATCAGTAGGTAGACGTGGGCATGTTGAGTAGGCAGTTGAAATTATGAGTCTGGAGAGGTCTGTTAAAGATTTGGATAGTATTTGATGTCCAGGTGTGAATGAGATCACCAAATGTAGGTATGGGCAAAAAAGTGAGGAGGTATGAGGACCATGATTTGAGGTGTGCCTCAGTTTTGGAAGATGAGGAGAAGCCAACTGGTAAGCAGTGCCCAGTGGGTAGGACAAGGAACCAAGTAACCTACAGGGCATTTGAAGTAAGTTAGAACAAAGTATTTGGAAGAAATAAAGAAGGAAAGAATAACTGTTTATAAGATGCACTCAAGTTAGCCAAGAAATTGGACAATGAGAATTGCCTAGTAGCTTCTTAAATGTGAATGCCATTCATTAATGAGATAAGAACCATTTTCATAAGACTGGTAGGAGTTAAGCCCTAACGAGAATTAGGTTTTTAAAGGGAAAAAAAAATGAGAGGAAAGAGTTTGGAGTCACTGAGAATGTATCATGCTATTGTATCAAAAGAAATGAGGGATGGAGGTAGCAGATGAGGATTAATTACTCCTTTTTTTTTTTTTTTTTTTCCAAGAGAACAACTCAAGTTTTGAAACTGAAGAGAATGATTCAGTTGAGAAGAAACAAATGGTGAAGCAGAAGAAAGAGCTCCTGAAGTGGCATTTTTGAGTAGTGAGATAGAATGAGTGGTTCAAAGTGTCTTACTGAGGAATGGACCCTCCATAGAACAGGAAAGCCAGAGTTGTGGGTACAGATATTGGGAGGTAGGCAAATGTGATGTTGCTGAGAGATTGGGTGGGAAACAGTACACCCAGAAGGAATGATTGAAGAAAGAGTAGGCAAGAAAAAAGAGACCTACAAGAGATAGGGAAGCAGTCTGGGCTAAACAGGAACAAGATGTTTCTACTCCTAAAATGAAAGGGCAAGGAGAAGTGGCTTCAGAACTTGTGAAACCTGTATGTGGAAGAAAGAGGGCTATGTCAGAAGCGGTTTTGCTAAGGAAAACAGCTAAAATAGAAGGGAGAAGGCAAAAGAATCATCATCCTGATCTCTTTCCCTTACCACCCTTCCTCTAATGGTCCCTTCCATTTGCAGAACCCAATCATGGAAAAGGGAGCCTGGTTAATACAGGACACTGGACATCAGCCTTCTTGGGTACCAAGCAAGGTGAAAATCTCTATAGACTTAAAGGGGAAAAGAACCACCAGTTAAGTAGGCTTCCTGCTCATGCAATACTACAAAAGCATAGAAAGGGCTTTAAAATACACTCAGTATCGATAGAAAACAGGGTATTTTCAGGACCACCAAAAGTTGTAGGCTCCTATTCTTCTACTGCTGAGGGCTTCTAGGCCAGCAGGAGCGATCATACACATAGCACAGGGACAGTCCTGAAGATGATCTTTAAGGAGTGTATTAGGCCAAGCATCAGATGCTACTACTTAGGTAGCTTTTTCCTTCTAATGATGGTTCCTTTTAAGTTTTTCCATTGAACAAATGATTCTAAAAGCAAAGAATGGTGACTTAACTTTTAGGGAAAAAAAATTCTCTTAAGCCATTTTTACTTAAAATGTAGCCAAGTTTGCATTCTCCTTACTATCTGTATTGCTTTAACTCCAAAATTTCTTTCAACAGATTTAGATAAATCAGGTACTCACTTGCTGTCTTGTGTCTCCTAAGGGTATATATTTCACTGTTTTTGTGGCAAAAGCTACAGAGGTCCCCAGATTCCACTATCACTGTTCCACTATTGCTGGTTGTTAAATAATTTCCAGCACCCCTAAGGTTAATATAGTGATTGAACCTGGAGTGGTGGTGTGCGCATCTCTTCAGTGACTTGGGAGACTGAGGCAGAAAGATTGCAAGTTCAAAGCCAGCCTCAGCACTTAACAATTTACTGAGGCCCTCTCTCAAAATAAAAAACAAAAAATGACTGGGAAAATGGTTCAGTGGCTGTGCAACCCTAGTTAAAAAAAAAAAAAAAAGTGCTCCACTATGCAAAGGACAACATGATCTTTACTAAATTGCTCAATATTTTAGCACTTTAGTTTTCCCATCAGCAAAATGAACCAATCCCATAAGATGATTAAACAACCTAAGTATGAAACAGTTCGTGTGGAAGACAACTATTTAATATAATTAACTAGGACAAGACACTTAAGGAAGTCATTTGACATTATCTGATAAACCAGAATTTTATCCAAAGACCTTAGCCAATCCCAAATTCACACATACTATGATGGCATTATTTTCCTCCTAAAGATGAAGTTCATCATTAGCATTCTTCATATTCTCTTTAAGTCTTTAATAATTGGAAATATCTGTGATCAGAGATATAGGTTCATACGTGTATGTCTAAATCTATTTGGTTCTCAAGTTTAGGTAGAAGCTGGGCATGGTGGCATACACCTATAATCCCCGCAAATTAGCGTGAGGCAGAAGGATCCCAAGTTCAAGGTCAGTCTCTTCAACTTAGATGCTATTTCAAAAAGAAAAAAAAAAGGGACTGGAAGGGGGACAGCGGGGAAGTGGCTAAAAATGTAGCTCAGTGGTAAAGCACCTCTGGGTTTTATCCCTCAATACCACACACCAAAAAAAAAAAAAAAAAAAGAAAGATAGATAGATCTTGAGTTTCCCCAACCTCTACACCACTTTGCAGAAGTGGACTGCCCTTCCTCCCAACCTTAAAAAATATATATCTCCCATGTCCCATCTGTTCTTAGGAAGCTACTTGAAGATACACCCTAGCCAGAGGGGGAGGACATCTAAGATACAAGATCTAGGAAATAGGAAACAGAATCCAAAACAGAAGAAATAATTCCCAAGTTGACAGTAGAGAAGATTTTAGAAGACAGCTGTACACCAGCCATAGAAGGCAGACAGTCCAGACTGGACACTGCAGACTGCTTCAGGAGTGATTTTACAAAATGAATGGACCTGAAAGAATGTTATTAGGTCTGAATATAATACAGAAGTTATTCATTTAGCTGGTTGAAAGCCAAGCAAAGCCAATTGTTAATTCAAGGAAATGAAAATATAGTAATGTAGTATATTATCACTTTGTAATCAGGTTACATAACCTAAATAAATGTAAATATATTCTAAGTGTAACCATAGTCAAAAAGGAAACTCTGGAATATAATATGTTGAGAGCAGAAAGGGGGATAAGCAGAGAATGCATAATGTTGAGAAGAGAGAAGGGTTATATTAGGAAGCCAAGAAACAATGCCCTAAAACTGAAAAATCAAGTAAAAGTAATATAAGCATATTATCTGGAGATATAGTTGTAAGTCACAAAAAAAGTCAGAAGTTGTAGTACTTTAGGAAAAAACTTACAGATTTGATTTTTCAAACTATGTACATGTACAACTTTGATTTAAAAAATAATAGGAAAATCAAATCTGGAGAAAAACAGATAATCTAGCACTGTCAGGCTCATAAAAACTCCATAACGAGTATTAATTATTTTATTATCATAATGACAAGACAAATGGTTTTTCATATCACCATTACACTCATGCTAGGGATAACAATACTTTCTGTATTATAAATGCTACTTGATCTTTTTTAAACACATTAACATTACTTATTATGCTTGGAATAAATGAGCATGCTTAATAAAATAAAAAATATTATAAAACATTCCAAGATTTTTAATTAACAAAAGTACCTATTTTTATACAGTTTACATACCACTTTCAATGTTAGTAATAGAAACAATGAAATTATTTGATATTTAACAATAAGACTAACTTCCCAAGACATGCACTACAACCATATAATAGATTCTGTCATCAATATGATGGTCTTGGCATTTTAATATATTATGTTCACATTTTAAATTAAGTCCTATTAACTAAAATAAAAACAGATTGAAGACAATGAACAAGAGGATCATTAAAAAAAGGAATACAAATAACCAGTAATGTTTATCAACATCATTTGTAATGAAAGAAATACAAATTTTAAAAAATGACACAACATTCTTCAGGTATACTGACAAAGAGTAAATGCGGGGGAGGGGGAGATAAAAGATAATACCTACAGTTGACCAGGGAGTATACAGATAGGCATGGTCACACATACACTACTAAATGGAAGTGTAAACTGGATAGCTTTTCTGAAGAACAATATGCTAATACTTACCAAAGCTCTAAAAATATTTAAGCCCTTTCAGTCAGACACTCCAGTTCTAAAAACTTTCTTAAAAGACATAATTAAGCATGTGCCTCAAAATGTACTAGGGCATTCACTGCACCACTTACAGTAACATAATGTAGACAATCAAAATGCCTAACACAAAAGAAAATAAGTACATTATGGCACATATTTCTTACGCCAGACAGTGGGGCTTCACCTCAATGCCATAATCCCAAACCTCCTGTAGCTTTTTCTTTCCCAACAGAATCTACTTCTAACAGAGGCAAAAAATGTCAGATGCTAGCTTTCTCTATGACCAAATCTGAGTTGATGGAAAATGAGAGGAAATAATTTGGAGGCTATTAGGAGAAATATTCCGCACCATAAAATAAATGTTACAGGAAAAATGGTCTTTCCTGCCTTGCAGATGCAATTTTAGGAAGATATAAAACTAGAAGTTATAGCATTATGCTGGGGAATGAGATGAGCTTAAGGCAAAATCAATAAATTGAGGGCAAAAAAAAAAAATTCTTAATGAAACCTCTGACATTTATTATATGTTATATAATAAATATCCTTGGTTACTTAAGCCATTTGGACAATGTTACCTCTAGTCAAAAGCATCTTAACTGATATTAGTCATAGAAGAGAGTACTTTAGAACCACTAAAAGTTTATGTAACAGAGGTATTATAAACAGTTTAAAAAACTTACAAAACAGTGTGTTCCCATTTTAAAAAAAAGTTAACATGGATTCAATGGCCAAGAAAAGTCTGGAAAGAGAACTCAGAGTTTAAAGAGTAGCTTATCTATGAAAGATGGGATCCTAATGTTTCCTTTTTCCATATTTTTTTCTACAATGAACATGTAAATTCTTCCAGCCTTTTTCTATCAATTCAATGCAATTTCAGACAGGAAGAGGTAAACATATTGTACCAGAAGTCTGCTTTTTGAATAGTAAAAGTTTTCAGTTAAAAAAAAAAAAAAAAAAAAAAGTTTTTGTGAAATAAAACTTGATCAGGCATTGATTTTTTTTTTCTGAGAATATGGAAGATTACAATTTTCATTTCCCTTTATTACGTAGGGAATCATATCATGACTTTGTACCATTTCGAATTGGAATTTCTTCTGTGAAGCAAAAACAGTCCCAAAATGAAGGATCTTCAGGTGTCATGGGAACAGCAGATGATATTAAATCATTAAAGGTAAGAATAGTAAACTGCCTCTGGGTTGGTATAGAATCATCTTGGGATGAAACCTAAAAGGAAAAAATTAGATTTTAAAATATTTAATGTTTTTAATATTTAATATTTTAAATGTTAATATTTTAAAATAATTAGATTACCTACTGTAATTATTACTGTATAGTAATCATATGAACAACTTTATAATTATAAAAATAAGACCAAATTATATCTTCAGTAGATTACAGTATGACTGTAAAATTTTTAGAATATTTTTACACCTTGTATTAGTACTGAAAATGTACCCAATTTAAAAAAGAGAAAACTTTTTTGTATTTAATGATAACCTGGTTGTTTAAAATTTCTTGAGCCCCGCATCCAGAAAGACTCAATTCAGTAGACAGGAATTTAAAAGAATCTCAAAATCTGCAATTTTAACAAGCAGAGTTAGGCCCAAGGCAAACTTTTGAAAGCTACTACTCTAGAGTGAGGATCTGGGATCTGATAAAACTGTTACTAAGTATACAGATGTAATGTTACTTTAGGAAATTACTATTCTGCAATACAGACTTTGTTCAGGACACAACCCAATATAGATCTTTCATGTTCTATACATTCTAGTACAGGTTGAGCATTTTTATTCTTAATTCAAAAAATTTTTAAAAAGCCAACATGCTACAAAATCTAAAACTGAGTGCCATTATGATACCACAAATGGAAAATTTCATATCTGACTCTCATGTGACAGGTCACAGCAATTAGAGGTACATTAAAAATATTATCTATATCTATATAAAATTACCTATAGGCTATGAGGTGTATATGAAACAAATGAATCATTATTTATTATTATTTAGTATTTTAATATGTCTAAGTAAATATTCCAAAATTTTAAAAAAATCCCAAACACTTCTGATCTCAAGCCTTTCAGATAAGGGCTACTTAATCTGTATAAATAGCATTTGGGTTTTGTAAAGTATAGTATAATTATGTATAGCTGTGCTGTAATATGGTTTTGATTTTCAACTTTATAGATAGGGAAATCGAGGCTCCTAAAGATCAAACAATTTTCCCAAGCTTACCACACAGGTTAAAATAGTAGACTTGTGTAGAACCTAGACTTTCCATTATGCCATTGCTGGATAGGCTCTAACCAGGGAAAAGTAGTACTGAATATGTAGATATTATAAAAACGATAAGGCTGTATAAAAACACGATACCCACAGGGAGTTATGAAGCTGAGACTTGAGATCATTAGGACAGGTAGCCTAGGTCAATAACAGGTATTAATTTTAACATGCTATCCTTAAAAAAAACTATGTAGAATTTTAACACTTTGATTAATCTATCAAAGGCATGGTGTGTGTTCTGAGTTATTTTTCTAGAAGAGAAGCTATACAGAAAATTGATTGTTCTACATTTTCTTACCCAGATTCATTAAAAATAATGGAGTGCATATAGCTTTGATTATAACATTATCTTAAACAAATTACTTTGGCAGAACCACAACTAAGCTGCAGTTTTTAATCCTAATTTTTTCCCTCTCTCACTTACTAGGTAACAGCCTCAGAAATATATGTCTCACATGTTTGACACTGAAACTTTGGAATAATTTAGGATATTACTTTAAAAGTGGAGGAGGTTCAATTGCAAGATAATCCTATTACTTACCAACCTTCAATTCAGTACCCTTTTTATTCAACACGGCCCCAATTCAAAAGGAAATAAATTTCTATTTATATGACCAAGATAATGATTATAGTGAATTTCTACAAAAATATGAATGCTATGATAATACTACCAACATTTTTTCCCATAATATTTAAATATATTTGAAAATGAAGAAGCAGGTAACATACGCTTTCAAAAAGTTTCTGTGACACAGACTTACACATAATCTCAAACCTGATGTAAGGCATATTAACTATTTCCATTAAAAAGATGGGAGGACAGATTAAACATTAATTCACACTTTGAAGAAAAAAAAAAAAAATCTTACATCCTCGTGTCTAGATCCATTGGGTTTCCTAAGAGCTACTGCAACAAAATGGTGTTCATCTATTTTGCTTTCCTGAAAAATAAAAGGGAAAGAGACACGGATTATAACATATGTAAATCTAGATATCGTTTTGTTTACATTTTATGTATCCCGTTCTTTTTATATACATAGATACACAAACACACATGTATTCCTCTAGGAACGAACTTATAGGCAAATGAGACCATGTCTTCTTAGCCTTTGTCTTTTATAATAATAACATTTTAAATACAAACCCCATGGCTTTCCACTTTAAAAGAATGTTGCAAATTTTTGGTTTTATGTTTCTTAATTAGATTTAGATCAAGTACACACTAGTTATCTGCCCTTTAGTATGGGTTGGGGCTGTAGCTCATTGGCAAAGTGCTTGCCTACCATGTGTGAGGCACTGTGTTCAATCCTTAGCACCGCATAAAAATAAACAAATATAATACAGGCATTCTATCCATCTATAACCACCAATTTAAAAAAAAAATAAATAATAATAATAAAAAAAGAAATCAAGTTGCAATGTTGGTTTGTAAGCAGTTAGTTACTTATATAATACAGCCTATGGAAAACCAATGTGGAAATTTATAGGTAAGATTTAAGAAATAGGAAACTATCATCAGAAGTAATACTTGGAGACCTTTCACCTTTCATCCTCCTTCATATTTTCACACCTTAAAAAATCCAAATTAGCAAAAAATAAAAATTCAAGAAGAATGAAATTAAGACGATATAATTAAAGAGGAAAAATAAATAAGACTAAGAACGAGAAGATTCAGTAAATCAAACATCAAAAAATATGCAGGCTACAAAGCCTGCTTTTTCTTTACAAAAAAACTAATTTGAATGTATAGATTTAAAAATACCTAAGATTAATTTTCAGAAATTTAGCAAATGACACAGTTCTTATACAGATGGAATATTTTAATAAATAAACATCATGCTTAACGTATATGTATGAAAGTTGGGCACTAAAGACTGTTACTAATTAATGTATTATTTCTAACAGTATGAGATACTAACAGAAAATATCATTCTATCATGACCCCAAGGAAAAATATTTTCCATTAAACTAAGAAATTTTAAGCTCACAATATTTACTTAAGTATTATAAAAAAATTACTCTATATATCAATAATAGCACATTATAATATATAGAAATGTTTTGGCTAGAATTACTTCGGAAAAACACTCCGGTCAGCAACTGTACTTCCTGTATGTAAGGCAAGTTACCATAGATAACTGTGGGCAATAACCAGTTCTTATTCCACCTATCAGCTAAAATACCAAGATACCCTGCTCATTTTATCTATATAAGTTGTTACAAGCCAAAATTCAGTGAGATTAATTTCAAAATGAGGCTTCACTCTGTCTACTCAGACCTTATCAGTGCAATATAAATATAAAATATGACATATCAAAAGTAGAACAGCTGTATTATAACTGATGCCCCAGTTATCAAACTGTCATGTACCTCATTGTTACATGTGGAGTTCTAATAATGTTAGCTATTTATATACAATAAATATTAGAATGAAATCTCTATGAGGTTAGGAAATTTATATGAAATCCTTTCTGGTTGAGAAAGTGCTTTTAATAAATGTGCCTTTAATAAACTAAGATGAAAAAAGAAAAAAAAAAATTTAAAGCAGCAAGCTACCCTAGCCAGTACATTCAATGCTGTAGAACATAAGACTTAAGTTTAATTTTTAAGACTTTCTAAATTTCAAGAATTCTCTTGTCATTTTTTTTGCTATATATATATATATATATATATATATATATATAGCATTCTATATCTTTTTATATCTTTATATAGATATAGCCTTCTATATCTCAAATTTACTAAATTTACTGTGAACACCAAAATCCCCCTAAAATTTCCACGAAAAGAAAAGAAATCTTTTCAGGAAATAGTTTAACATTGGTTTAAAAGATGAATCTGCTTCAGTAAAATGATAGGTCATTTTCTTCATGTGCGTTCTCTTACAAAGTTAAAAAAAAAAAAAAAAAAATTAGCTACAACTTAAAACATTCTCATTTTACCTTTATTCCCAAAGGTAAAAGGTTGAAAAACGTATCGATAAATTCTGACACATTTCTACTTGATAAGTCCTTCCTTTGCAAAAGAATATAACCTCATCATTTCAAACATTTTGTTGTTCATTTTCCTGTAGAATGTTTGATTTTTCCAGGTATGAAGATTCAATATATTTGAATAAGTGACCTGCCTTCGGAGAGCATTAAGAAATTAAAACAATTACATAGCTATAGATTATGAGGTAAAATGTGGTATATTATAGGTAAACAAATATAAAACGTATAGTCTTAAAGAAGACTTAATTTTGTTAAAGAAGGCATTAAGGTCGGGGGAGTCATGGAATTGGTATTAGCAATCAGAAAAGAAAAGGGGAGGGGACAGTCAAGGAATACCAGGTTGTGATTTAGCTGTGATGACTAAAGAAGGTAGACAAAGCAAAAGTGTATTATCTTTTAAAATACAGGATCCAAAGTAAAATTTACTCTTTAACTGACAGAATCCCTATCTACTGAAGCAGTTTTTGATATAGATCTCTTTCTCAAAATACTTTTGCCCTTGGAATTCTGATACTACTTTTATTTTATATCCTATTATTTTGGCCATTTTTTCCTAGTCTATGCCACATTCCACTTTTAAATATTAGTATTCTCAGAGTTCTGTCCCAGGTTTTTCTCTTTTCTAACTTAGATAATCTCATTGCTTCAACTTGAGTTTCTCTTCCTAGATTCAATTTATAGCTACTACTTAGGCAATGTCATAACTTCAACTTCAAATCCCATGGCTTCAAATACCCATATATTAATGATTATTGTTTGTTTGTTTTTTTTCTGGTCCCAGCCCTTCATTCTATTTGCCCACTTGACATTTTCACTTGGATGTCTCAGTGGCATCTCAAACTTAACATTTAATTTGTTTTTATAACATTCTGTATCTCAATAGGTAGTCCTCTGAAGTCAAAGCACTGCTCACATCATCTTTGATACCTCCCTTCCTTAACCACCACATACATCAATCTGATGTTACCACTCCATACAACACCTATCAAATTCTCTTGAGAAAATTCAAAAACACCTCCTATCTTATCCATTCATCACCAAACCCTGGGGAACTAACCTCTGTATCTAAATTTCTTACCTCAAATGCCCATTCTTTTTCTTCCTCTCCATCCAGGAACAAACGTGTTTCTTTATAAACTTCGCCTATATCCAAGTTTAATGGAGATATATCAAATTCAAGCCGCTGCAATTCAAATCCCAGTCCAACACCAATAGCTTTTATGAAGCTTTCCTTCAGCGCCTAAGATACAGACAGGCATCCATTTCTTAAAATGAGTATTCAGAATATAAAACTTTCCATAAAATGTACAGGACCAGTACCATATGAATTTCTACTTCTGTACCATGTTATTGTATGCGATTTTTAAGAAAATTTTCCTTTCTAGTAGCATAGAAATAAATCATGCCTATAAACTTAAGCTAAATCACTTAAACTCTGCATCCATTCTCTCTTGCGTGAACTGTGACAACAACACTTTCACTGGTTTGTTACAAGAATTAACTTATTAAGAGCTTGAAATGGTATCTTCCAGCATGTAGTAAATATTATGGATTTGTTAAACAATAGTCATGCATATGAATTTCTTCAAGACAGAAAACATTTTATTTTATTTTTTTTTTGAGAGAGAGAGAATTTTAATATTTATTTTTTTATTTTTCGGCGGACACAACATCTTTTGTTTTTTTGTATGTGGTGCTAAGGATCGAACCTGGGCCGCAAGCATGCCAGGCGAGCGCGCTACTGCTTGAGCCACATCCCCGGCCCAGAAAACATTTTAAATGGTAATGGAATACAATGAATTTTTGTTTTAAAAGTACCTTCTAAATTAGTGTTAAATTTTCTCAACATAAATCATCATGTAATACTATATGTGTTAAAATCCAAAGTTCTCAAGCAATCACACATTTACTTCCAAAGGACTTTTACTCCCATTTTTAGTGATAATAGAATCATTACAGATTTCTCTTTTCAAAGTTAGAAAAAATTTATACCCAATTCCTATAAAACATATCCAGCTGAGTCCATTCATCCTTAAAGCTTCTGATTGTTTCCCATTCTTTGTTGGTAAACTTTCTTTTCATAATATGAAAGAACTCTGGAATTGAACCTCGACCTGTGAAGTAAGAAAATACAGAATTAAAAAATTAGCTGTTCTATTAAAAAAAAAAAAAAAAAAAAAAGCTGCTCAGTAGGGCAGCTAAAATCTGTTAAAGTCAGCATAGAAAAAGAACACTACAAGGCAACCCATCCAGTCACAGTAATCTTAAACTAAGTACCAGTTAATCAAATTGAGCTGGGAATTAAGAGAATAACATGCCATGTCAAGCAGAGCATAGCCTAGAAACTGAGGCACAGTTAAGCAGGAATCAGTGAAATTGGAAATTATTAAATAATTAAGAATAAAAACTACATGGCTGTACCAAAAGATGTTCCAAAAACTCAGATTTTTAGCATCTAGCTAAATAGGAGAAAAAAAGGAATCAATTATTTTCTTGTAATTTGCTGTAAATCAGAAAAAAAAAAAAAACTAAACATTGTTCTTTTAAGTCATTACTGTGACTAGAAAATTAATACACTCTTATTTCCTTCAAAATAACTGTGTTCTCAAAATGTTTTCTAATATGACTTCTTCAAATAAAAACAGATTTTCTTGTCTTTTTGGTACTGGGGATTGAACCCAGGGGTGCTTGACCTCTGAGTCATATCCCCAGCCCTTTTTATTTTTTATTGGGAGACAGGGTCTCACTAAGTTGCTGAGGACCTCGCTAAATTGTTAATGCTGACTTTGAACTAGCAATCCCCCTGCCTCAGCCTCCTGAGCTGTTGGGGAGGTGTGTACCACCATACCCAGCAGATTTTCTTTTCTTTTATAGATATAATGGTAAAATAAGTTCATATTAAAATCTGAAACATATCTTTAGCGCCCACATTCCAAAGACAATATACTCCACAGCATTCTAAAAATCAGTGATAATTAAAGAACACAACTCAAAGGGCTTGCTTCCTACAACTAAGGGCTAAGGTAAAAACTTTTTGAAGGAAGTCCCTCCACAAATTCTGTCAAAACAGAAATGTCTCCAAAATGTGACATTTCTATTCCTGTTAACTACAACTCTTTAAGTGATAGCTGCTACTATATTCTCCATGAGCATCTCTTATGGAAAGAATTATGTCTGGAAAAAAGATGTTGACTCCCCCTATTAATGCATTCCTGGCATATATATCACTAATGCATCCTTTGAGAATCCAACAATTAAATTCATTATTATTATTCACTGAAAACATATGAGTTCTAGATGCTGATAATAACATGATGAGTAATCATACCTTTCCCATAGTTAACTCAAGGGCAGAAAAATATTAAAAGCCAGTTCTCTCACAAAACTCTAATTCCCACACTGCTCTCAATTAAAGAGTCAAAATAATTTGCTCATTTAGCCAGGAAGTGTTTCTGATTATCCTAAAATGATAAGTAGTACTTAGATAAGACAAAGATTCTTGTTCTTTTTCAAGCACTGAAATATTAAACTGTGAGTTTAACAGTTCTATCACAAGGGATTCTACCCTTTTAGGGCCCTGGATCATTCTTATAGTCTGATGATTACTTTTCAACACCTTATGGAAACAACTAGAAGCTCCTCAATAAAAACTGTATTGATCAGGGCCACATCACTGGCACATGCTGGATCAACAAATAACATACTAAAGACTACCTTAAAGAAAAGAAAGCAAGCCTTCAAAATAACTGAAGTAAATCTGATTTTTAAATACTGGGAGCACATAAATGATAAATTGTTTCCTTTAAATGGTTTCTAGTATAAGTAATAACAATAGGAGAAATAGCTTAACTTGAATTTGGAAAATAACATTTGTGTATTTTGAGTGGAACTATAGTTTTAATATAATATTATAATACAGTAGTTTTAATATAAAACTATAATTTTAATATAATACAATCCAAAACTCCATAATTTAAAAAAGATGTGTCCATTGTCATCTATAGTGTCATTTTGTTTGTTGGTTTCTCCAAGTTTTCATTTTATAACCTCTAAGAAACTGATTTCTAACTAAATGTGATAAGGCAATGAAGGAAAAATTTAAATATGTATGCTTATAAAAAACGATTAACATAAAAGGCAATCTAGCACAATCACTAGGAAGCAATCACAGAACTCATTACTTAAAGCTAAAAAAGTAACCAACGACTGCATTTTCATATACTTTTGAGAGCATCTTATCTAATCCACAAGAAATTTGACAGCAACAGGAAAAGGTCATTTTGTGAATATTCAGCCAAAGCACAACAGCGCCACACTGTGGTATTACGGGGGAAATATGTAATTGGTGAAGTCTGTTAATCCCATAGCTTACTTAAGAAATTGGAATAAAAACAACCATTAGGAAATATCACTAGAAAAGTAAATTTGTCCCTTAATCTATTAGCAAAATTATTGGACAAAAGCTGACAAATCGTCCTAATAATACTATTACACATTCATGGCTATTACAATTTTCTACTTAATCATCCTATTCAACATTTAAGAATTCAGAAAGGACATACATATGTAAGAAAGATGAACAAGTGGAAACCATAGAGGTACTACTACCAGTTATGTTTAGAAAACCTTGATCTTCCATCTTAGACCTTAATATTAAGCAGACAGTACTAGATATTAACTAAAATGTTCTGCAACATTAAGCAACTAAAAGTCTTTTTTGTTTTCTTTTTTTTGTGGGGGGTGTCCCAGGGATTGAACTCAGGGGTGTTCAAACACTGAGCCACATCCCCAGCCCTATTTTGTATTTTATTTAGACACAGGGTTTTGCTGAGTTGCTTAGAACCTCACTTTTGCTGAGGCTGGCTTTGAACTCATGATCCTCCTGCCTCAGTCTCCAGAGCCACCAGGATACAGGCATACACCACCATACCCAGCTCTAAAAAGTTTATTTTAAACATAGTAATAACCTACAACAAATCATTCAGTCAATACCCTTGGCTACTATTGCAAGCCTATGACAAAAATTCCTGATAGTACCAGAATCTCGAATCTCCCCTACATCATTTTCTCAAAAATTAACTCATCAATATGTATGTATAAACAGCACCTCAGTTAAGGCTCACCATTCTTCTTAAACAGACCAGCAAGATGAGTGATATCCACTTGTGGGTTTGCTTATAGCAAAATTTTGTTATAGAGACTACATACGAGAAATTCTAATGAGTTTCATTTTTTAAAGTATGATTACATAGGACTGGGATTGTGGTTCAGTGGTAGAGCGCTTGTTTAGCACATATGAGGCGGCACTGGGTTCGATTCTCAGCACCACATAAAAATAAATAAAATAAAGGTATTGTCCATCTACAACTAAAAAAAAATTTAAAAATATGATTACATATAGTCTTGCTTCTATGAGAAGTGTCAAGTGTTCTAATATGTATACACTAATGCTTCACTTACTAGCTCACCTATCAAGTTTATTGAGATACAAAACCAAAAACAAAAAATGTGATTATACTTTCATAAATTCTATACAAAAAGCCTCTTGTATGTTATTGACAAAGGATTTTTAAGTTCTCAATATGTAAAGTACAGCAGAAAAAAGACTAGACTGCAATATGATATCCTTGACTTGAGACACTGCAATATGATATCCTTGACTTGAGACTAACACTAAGTAGCAAACTTCAGTTGCTCTTCTGTGTATTTATTTGAATGTATATATATTAATATATACTGGTTGGCAAGAAACAGGCCAACAAAGCTAGAACCATGAGGCTGGGAATATTATCCTTCAACAAAGGTCTTTCATAAGCAAGGAAGAGGGCCCAGGAAAAGCAGGTGGGACCACCTAGGAGCCTACATACAAAGTAAGCAGCTGTTATTTTCAGTTCTTGAAACATAATGGAATTTATTTTCCCTCCTGAATTTCAAACTTGCTTGCAAACCATGATCCATCCCCCTTTTCTCAACTTCTCCATTTTGAAATGGAAACTTTTTCTTATGCTTCTCCCACCATTGTATTTTAGATGACTTGTTTTCTAGTTTCACAGGTTCACAGATGGAGATGAATTTTGACCCATGATGGATCATATCTAATTTGTATGATTCAGATTATGAAATCTTCAACTTTTTGAGTTGATAAGTTAGATGAGATTTTGGATGTAGAGCTAATATGGGTTTGAGTTAAACCTAAGGGATGCTGGGAGGGGGTGAATTGATTTTGTATGTAGAACGGATATAAACTTGGGGTGGAATACGCACAGGATGAACTTTACTGGGTTGACAAGCATTTCCAAAACTTACATCCACTCAAAACTACAGAATGTGACTAGATTTGCAAAAAATTTCCGCAAATGTAATCAAATCAAGATGAGGTCATACCTGACTAAGATGAGACCTGAATCCAATGACAGGTTACCTTAAAGGAAGACAAACTGATTATACAAAGAAGAGAAGGAAGAAGGCTACTTGAAGGTGGAGGCAGAAAATGGAATGAAGCACTAAAAACTAGGAAGAGACAAGGAAGGATTCTTTCCTGGAACCTATAGAGGGAGCATGGCTCTGTTGACAACCTGACTGATCTAAAGCCTTTCAGAATTGTTAATAATTTCTTATTGTTTTAAATCACTGAGTTTGTGGTACTGTGCTAGGTAGCTCTAGGAAACCAGTATATACATGTATACAATTTCAAGGATTAAGTAAACAGTCTTATGAGTTTAACTGTTATCTCTCTGGAGTCAAATGTTCAAATATTTTCCATCATTTCTTTCTCATATTTATTTATTATGTCTAGGGACAAAGAGTTGAATAGATTAAAGAATAAACATATAAACTACCTGGAAATACCAAGTACTTAATAAAGATAAGTTTTTAAGGTTCTTGTGGTAGCTGTTATTGCTAAATGTATATAAATGTGTGCACACACAAACATATTCCCTTTTGTCAACTGTTTTATCAAGTCCTTCGTGCATTCACCAAATAAGACTTATTTGATTTTCTCATCAAAACTTAAAAGCATATTAAATATTAATATCAACCTTTGTCTGTTATATTTGCCACAAATAGATCCCTAGGTTTGTAAAGTGTGATTTAATATGAAATCACATCAGTT